TCCCGATCTTCCGATTTCGGTAAGAATTTTGGTTCTTTGCTTGCTTTCGAGCCTTGACAGACATATAATCGTTATGTTACCTGGAGATTTAGTATGCTCATCTGATATGATGATCTCATCATGTCGAAGTTCGAAACTGCAAAACTTTACAATTAGAACGTTCGGGCAGAGTCGACACTTTCCTGGGATTTAGAATGTTTGTGTTAGTCAGAAAATTTCAAAGTTCAAATCAAGATGGGTAGTGGGGCTATTCGAATACTGCCTAAGTCTCTAAGATCTATTAGAATTTAGGAGGTTGAAACTGCAAAACCTTTTACACAGAACATAACCGATTTGCATGTCAAATACATGTTCGATATGTCGTGTAGATTTGCCTTTCAACTTCTCTCATTCTTTTTCTGTTTTTCCTTGTTTACTTTTACTTCAGAAGGTTCAAAAGGTTTTGTTGCAATCTGATGTCCAGTCTAAATCCGAGAAAAGGCAAGTGAAAAGGGCTGATTATTGTAGTTTTCTTCCATTTTCTGCTACAGTTTCCTTCATATTTCAAATTCACTGTTACGTCAATTACTACACGTCCTGCCATTTTTGTATTTTTTTTTGGCTGATTATGGTAATTTTTAAGGTGATTCTGGGTTTATTGGTTTTACAGGTCTGAAAAATGCTTGCATGCATATATCATGGAATTTGAAACCCTGTGGATTTTGATTTTGGTGTTGGGTTTGAGGTGTTGTTCATGGAAAATAGACTAGGGAACTCCAATGGAGTTGGAATTTCAAAGAAATCGAGATCCTTGGATCTTAAAACGCTGTATAAATCTAGCATTCCGAAGGATTCTGTTAATAAGAGTTTGAAGCGGAAGAATAAGCCTGAGGAAGTTGATGATCAGCAGAAACAGGACAAGAAGAGCAGAAAAGTTGTTTCTTTAAGTAGCTTTGAGAAATTTGATTGCGGTAACGGAAAAAGGGCAGAGAAGGCGTGCAATGGTGACAAAACTTTGGACGACCTGGTCGACTCGAAGGTGGACTTGGATGAGAAAATGTGCAACACTAGTGGGTTGCAAGGGATTTCGCTTGGTTTGGGAGGTAGTTTGATTTATGTACCTAGACGTAGGAGAGGGTTTGTTGGGAGGAGTAGGTTTGAGAATTGCCTAGGACAAAAGTCTGTTGGGGAATCTGTTATTCAGGCCGAGGTGGTCGATCTGATACCTAAGGAGCCTGTTGAAGAATCATCTAGTGCTTTGGATCATCTCCTTAAGGTCAGAGAAAAGGGCTCTGATGGAGAAGGTAAAGGGTCTGATTCAGCATCTCAGTTGAAGTTGGAAAATGGGTATTCCAGTCAGCCTGCTGTAAAAGATGGTCAGTTGGTCTCTGAACAAACACATAGTAAAAGCAGAAAAAGGAAGCCATTGGCGCTGGATAACAGAACTGTTGGAGAAGAGGCCAAGTTATCAGGTGCTACTTCTGGTAGACTATCTGAAGTATCACGGGAAGATGATGAAGAAAATCTTGAAGCTAATGCAGCAAGAATGCTGTGTTCGCGGTTTGATCCAACCTGCACTGAGTTTTCTTCAAATACTAGTGGTCCTGTTGCACCGTCAGTTGACAGATTGCCTCCATTATCTTCTGGTAAGAATTCAAAATGTGTGTCAGATGATACCGATGACAGAATGTTGCGACCAAGGAGAAAGCATGAGGAAAAGGGCACCGTTAGGAAAAGGCGGCACTTTTATGAAATTTTGTTTTCTGATGTGGACTCGCTCTGGTTATTAAACAAAAGAATAAAGATTTTTTGGCCTTTGGATGAGAGTTGGTATCATGGCCTAGTGGACAATTATGACGAAGAAAGAAACTTGCATCATGTAAAGTATGATGATCGTGATGAAGAGTGGATCAATCTTCAGGGTGAAAGATTCAAAATTCTTTTGTTCCCTGCTGAAATTCCTGGTAACAATCAGCAAAAAAGACGCCGTTCGGGGACCAAATCTTCTCCGAAAATAAAAGGGAACGATCCAACTAGCAAAAGTGAGAAGCAGAATGCGAAGATAGAAGATGATAGCTGCATGGGAAACATGGAATCTGAGCCCATCATCACATGGTTGGCCCGGTCTTCACATCATTTTAAGCCTTCCACTCTTAAGGCTGTAAAGCAATGGCAAAAAGCTGCAATGTTGCCATCTAAAGGAATCATGAAACCGAATGGCGATGTTGTTGGAGACACTGTTGGACATGACTCAAGTAGATCCCTTAGTTCCCTTTCATCATATGGATTGGCTGGGCAGAAGAGGAATGATTCCTTGCTGAAAAGTTCCCGTTTTTCTAAGCATGGCAAACTTCCTCTGGTTTATTATAGGAGGCGGTTTCGTAATACAAAAAAAGGCATTTCAGAAGACAATAATGTTGAGGTTTTGAGGCAGTATCATGTGTCAAAGAGTCCCGATCCTGAAATATATTTTTGTCCTATTGAAAATTCTGGGAAGGTAGTAGAGCTATACTTACCGTGGAATAACTCAAAGCGGTTCCGGTTATTTCTGCGCCTTAAGGCTGTTTCTCTGATGAGTTACTTTCTTATAGCTGATGTTATTTGGCTGTCACGTGTTGCATTACTGCTTCATCATGGTACAGTTGTCACTATGTGGCCCAGGGTATGTTTGGAGATGCTTTTCCTGAATAATCGAGTTGGGTTGAGGCATCTTATTTTTGAAGGCTGCTTAATGGAGGCTGTTTGGTTAATTTTCCGGATCTTGAGAGTATTTGATCAATCTGTTGAGCAGAGAACTCTCACTGACTTGCAGTTGCCAGTATCTTCAATTGGTTTCAGACTTTCTTGCATTGCACGTCTCCAGAGGCATGTGGCATTTGGATTCCGCAGTTTCAGTGAAGTGAAACATTCCAAGTGGACCTACGTGGAGCAGCATGTCAGGAGACACTCTTTGCTAGCTAAGCATTTACCAATTTCAGAATGTACATATGATAACATCAAGGCGTTTCAGATGGGGCAGGTGCTGGATCTATCTGTTTCAGGCAATTCACTGTTGTTTGAGGTACAATTGTCTGACATTAACTCATATGCTCACGTTATGAAATAGAAGTTAAATGAAATATGATAGGAGTCGATGTGGTGCAAATTGAGATAGACCATTGTGTATCTTATGATAGAGTAAATGTGATGAAAGCAAGGTATACAACTGTGACTAAAACTTACATATGACAGAGTATATGTATTGAAGCGAATGTCAAGATCATTACGTTTGTATGACTTATTTCAGAAATATTTTTTGAAGTCTCTCCTCAGAGCTGCAATATATGCCTACAGATGTATAAATTTCTTGTTTAAATGATAATCTTGTGGGCTTAATATATGAGAAAGCTCTGCCCTCCATTAGCTTTATCTTTTGAAAATTGATTAAGATTGCATGACATCACCTTCATTATGCTACTGTTCAAGCTCATTTATTCCCATTCTTTGTCCAGAAGCAGGTTCTTTGGTATAGGAAGAATGGCTGTGTGTGTGCGTGCCCCCGCTCTCTCTTAAATTTTCCTGCTTTTGCATGCTTATATATACCTGCTTATTTTTGGTAAATTTGTGCAGGTTCTTTGGTATAGGAAGAATTTTTGTGTGTGTGTGTGTTCTTTCTTATATTTTCCTGCTTTTGCATGCCTATATATACCTGATTATTTTGGAAATTTTGTGCTGAACCTTTTTTGGCATTTTGAATTCCTGTAAATTATGGTTTTCCTATGTTCCTGCTTTGGCATTTTGTTTTGTGTTTGGACACCCCTCTTAGGGCTCTGTTCTATTGGAAGCTTTTGTTTATGCCTGCCACATTATCTGATTGGAAGCTTTTGTTTGATTCATAATTTGCTTATTTCTTTTGTATCCTTTTTATATTGTGTTATCTTCTATTGAACCTTTCTATCTTGCATCTTAGGATTTGCAGAAGAGATCTAGGCACTGTGAAGAGCATGGAGATAGAGAAGTACATAGTTCTCCCCAGTCAAGTGATCTGGCTTCAAACATCCAAGGTAGCATCATTTCCAGCCCTAATCCCACTGCACTGAGAAGCACAGGGCAGAGAAGTAGAAGTTCTTTCTTTGGCTACCTCTCACATGGTTGGTCAGATTCAAAGGGCAGCTTTCTACACACTAATTTTGGAAATGGACCAAAGAAGCGACGTACCCAAGTGTCTTATTCATTGCCTTCTGGGGGTTCTTATTCTAGGAACAAAGGTCCTTTGCACAAGGGTCTTCCTCACAAAAGAATTAGAAGGTCCAGTAACAGAAAGTCTGCTGATGTTTCCCGAGGTCCGCAGAAGGATTTGGAGTCTATTTCCTGTGATGCCAATGTGCTGATCACTCTTGGCGATAGAGGTTGGAGAGAACATGGAGCTCATATAGTCCTAGAGCCTTTTGATAGTAACGAATGGAGACTCGTTGTTAAAATCTCAGGATCAACAAAATACTCGTACAGGGCGCATCAGTTTCTGCAGCCTGGGTCAACAAACAGGTTTACTCATGCTATGATGTGGAAAGGAGGGAAGGATTGGATCTTGGAGTTTCCTGATCGGAGCCAGTGGTCTCTTTTCAAAGAGATGCATGAAGAGTGCTATGATAGGAATATCCGGGCTGCTTCAGTCAGGAATATTCCCATTCCTGGCATTCGTTTCATAGAAAAATACGATGACAGTACAGAAGCTCTGTTTACTCGTAATCCTTCAAAGTATATTCAGCAGACTGAAGCTGACGTTGAGATGGCTTTGGATCCTCTCCGTGTCATGTATGACATGGACACTGATGATGAACAGTGGCTCTTGAGAATTCACGAGTGTTCAGAGACTGAAAATAGTGGCTCGTGTGAGATCACTGAAGGCCTGTTTGAGAAAGCAATGGACATGTTTGAGAAGGCTGCATATGTAAAGCAGCGTGATGAGTTCACATTGAATGAAATTGAAGAATTGATGACAGGAGCTGGAACCTTGGAAGTAATGGAAAGGATATACGAGCATTGGCGGACTAAGAGGATGAGGAAAGGAATGTCGACAGTT